AGGTTATGTATACAAATTCAAAAAAGAAGAACAATAATTTGAAGAATAAACTGAAGTCAGCGAGATTTTATGGAAATTTGAAGATGTTATGTTTTCTTATCTCTTTTTTTTTAATATTTATTTTGTTATAAAATGTAATGTTTGAATTAGGGTTTGAAATTTGAAAATGTTATGTTATCTTATATCCTTTATATTTAATATTTGTTGTACTTTGTTATGAAATGTAATAGTTGAAGATGCAGTGGAGTTGATAGGAATATGCAACTAACGTTTTGTTTCTTACGAGTAAGTTCATCGCAATAATTTTCAATTACAATAATGTGCTTAATATATTTTGAAGTTTAAGCTAATAGGTTAAATTGAATGTTCAAGTTGAATGTTTAAGTTGATAACCTTAAGAGAGTTAAACAAATTAAAACTTCATTACATAAGACTTTCATTACATGATCAAAAATCATAATCAAATCTAAATCCTCTCGCTGAGATAAATTTAGACCAATCATAGTCATCCTTATCATCATCATCAGAATCGGAAAAAAAATCATCATTTGCCTTCTCAACCTTCTTCTTCTTCTTCTTCTTCTTCTTCTTCTTCTTCTTCTCTTCACTCTGAGAGCTCTCATTAGTCTAAACACAACACCCTCTACAATAACATCTTGAATCCGAGATTGGTTTTGCACCACGACAGCGACCTCTACAACAACATCTTGATTCTGAGGCTGGTTTGGCACCACAATACCCTCTACAACAATATTTGGATTCTCAACATTGTTGGTGGCTTGAGCAGGATAACACATGTTGATTCATTTGGAAGAAGTTGTTTTTGTGTCTTGATTCTTCCGTTTTTATGTTGTTCCTTCCGATTCTTCATCTTCTTATCTTGGAAGTTTAAAAACCAAAGTTGCTCATCATTGTTTCTTTAATTATATATGCTTTATTTTCTCTTGGAAGTTGGAAAGATTACATATCTCGAGTTGTTCAAATTTTATTATTTACTTAATGGAATTGTGTACTTGTAAGTATAAGTTTTGATATCAATTAAAAATTGGTCTGGTGTTGATTCTGGTATGAAAGTTTGACATTTATTCATATACTATATCACAACGGTTGGTATGAATAACCGTTGTTATAAGGCGCGCGCTTTCCAGATTACTACGATGGTCACTGGACCGTGATTGTAAGTACCGCATATACAACCACACGCTACATAACAACACTTGATCCCGCTTGGTTATATACTTTCCCAATCGTTGTTAAGTGTCTTTTCAATAGTAGTGTCATTTAGCTTCAAATACGATTTTCCACAAAAGAACGAAACACATTGAAGTAAATTGTCACTTAATTTGAGAACTCATTGTCAAGGGAATTATAACTATTGTCCACATACCAACCAAGTCACAACAAGCAAACATTTTCACAAAGTCGTTGGGAACAAAACCATTTCGAGAACTATCAGACAAGTTGGAATTCCATCATTCTCAATCTCCAACTTGAGGGGGAGTAATGAGTTGTAATATTATTTTCATAAGTTGTCTGGTTAACATTCATTCTGACAATGAATTAGAGTTAATTGGTCAAGGTCTGGAATAATTTACTTCCTAAAATAGAATCGTTATTTGTCTCTTTGTATAGTTATATAATGATTGTAAGTTATACAAAATATTCAATACATAGAAATATTTTTACAAAGTTTATGTCATTTCATTAGTCTCTCTAGAAAAATATACAAGAGATCTTTTAAGTTATTTTATTGTAATACCGTGGTCCTTTAGGGTTTTTTTTACTACAAGTTAATTCTTTAAGTTAACTAACGTGTGTACTGTTGAGTTTTTTTACCTTTTTTTTTAATCTTACATTAAATTAATCACTCAAAATATATAAAGTTGTAACAAAATACATATATTAACATCCTAAATACATAAAGTAGCCTCCAAAAAATATAAAGTGAGATCCTAATTCAACCAAAAATAAATTTAAAAGACCAAATTATCAACAAATTTTTTTTTTAAAGATCAACCTATTACAATAAAATAATTTTAATGATCCCTAAAGTAATTAGGCCTAATTTTTACTAACTACTGAATTCAAAATATCGGAGGTTTGTATCCTTCTAAATCTCTTGCATTTAATTTAATGTTTGATTATGTCTCAAAGAAGATTACTTTTAGTTGAAAGAACATATGAAATAAAAAAACAAATAAAAAGTATTTTGTATTTGCTTTTCTTGTAAAAAAAATACTAATAAATAGCGATTAGAAAACTAACTCCATTTACTCTGAAAAAATTGTCTTCTAATTTTCATTTTTAAAAATTTCTATCAGTCTGTTTGATAATACAAGAATTTTTTTAAATTAAAATAATGGAAAGAAGAAATTATAAATTAGGTATAATAGCTATAAGAAAATAATAAAATAACTATAATTAGGTATAATCATTTTAAATAAATGAAATTTAAGAATGCTACAATTATTGTGATTTGTGATGGATGACACTATCACTGTAGTAATCTTAGGTGGCATTATTCTAGTGGTACATACACACCAGTAATCTTAGCATTGATTACTTCAAAAAACACTTGCTTACTTTCTTTGTTTCTTGTTTCCACCTTCACCATGAAATGAAATTCAAGAGCTTGTGTTCTTGTATAGCAGAAGATTGAATGGCTGCCACATTCTGTAACCTCACACATGCTTCTCTTTTCCTTAACAACCAACTTACCTACTTCAAAAGGTAATTTCCCTCTATATGCAAACAATCATACATATAATATATCATGTTGGTTTTTTCTCTCTTTCATTTTCAGGTGTCATTTAGTTTCCAAAAGCTCAAAATGTACTAGTACTAGTATGGAAAAAGTCTTACATAGGAGATTTCAACTTCAAACAAGACAACACTACCACCTACATGTGTGTTGTGCTGGAGAAGCAGAATTCTCCTCTTCTTCTTCTACCTTTGAAGATGTTGTTGATCAGGACATTTCAATGGAAACATTGATTTGGAGGGCTATCAAGTTGCCTATTTATTCTGTTGCTTTGGTTCCTCTCACTGTCAGCTTCTCAATCTTTGTTGCATTGTGAATTCATGTGATTTTAAGCAATTCGCCAGTGTTTACGGTTTTGTTTGTTATCATTATTATCCACAAATAGGTAGGAAGTGCAGCAGCTTATTTACAGACAGGCATCTTCTCAGCTAAATGCTATTTTGTTCTCTTGGCTTCATCAGTTCTTGTTATTACCTGGCTCAACTTAAGGTACATTTCTAACTTCTTGCTTTTCTAGATACTGTTTTCATTTTGGAATCACTGATGGTAACTCCGTATGTGTTTACTGCAGCAACGATGTTTATGATTTTGACACTGGAGTTGACAAGAACAAAAAGGAATCAGTTGTGAACCTGGTTGGAAGGTTTGTTTCTCTCAAACTTGTATTTGTTATTTGCCTATTTTGTTTTCCTTCTGCACATGTTTGAAATAAAACAATAAAACAATAAAACTAACTTTTGGCTTGTTGGATTGGGAAAGCCGTACAGGAATGTTTGTTGTTGCCTACTTATGCCTTGCTCTCGGCTTCGTTGGCCTGACTTGGGCCGCTGTTGAGGCAGGAAACGTGCGTTCGGTGTTGTTCCTTACTTGTGCAATTATTTGTGGCTACATATATCAGGTAAAATTTCTGCTGATATCGGAATCATGTTATTCTAGGGAACTTAATCCTTCATAAGCTAACTATCAATTCAACGTGTTGATTTCGTAGTGCCCACCATTTCGGTTAAGCTATCATGGACTAGGAGAGCCATTGTGTTTTGCAGCATTTGGTCCTTTTGCCACTACTGCTTTTTATTTAGTACAAGGCAGTGCAAGGTTATCTCAGTTACCTAACTAGAGTTATAGTAATATATATTTTTCATGGCTTGATTGTTGTCTCTGAATGATTTTAGTAGCACGCCGAACTGTTTCCTATTGAGTGGAACCGTTTTTTCAGCATCAATCCTTGTAGGCTTCACAACATCTCTTATCCTTTTTTGCAGTCATTTCCATCAGGTACTGTTATTTCTTTAGTTCCAAGTATGAGAGTACTTTCGAGTATGTGACCTTTTTCTGTGGATAATACAGGTAGATGGAGACAAAGAAGTCGGAAAATTATCACCTTTGGTTAGACTTGGCACTGAAAGAGGTGCAGAGGTAGTGAAAGTGGCAATCTTCATGCTCTATGCTCTTTTGGTTGCTTTTGGTCTAAGCAAAACACTTCCTCTCACTTGTATTGTGAGTAATTTATGCGTTTGTCCTTTCTTTTCACATATAGTTGCTATTTCGGGCCATGCACTTACGATTTAATCTTTTGGTTATGGATTATGGTTGTACTAGTTCCTTTGTGCATTGACATTACCGATCGGAAACCTGGTAGTTAGATTTGTCCAAGATAATCACAAGGTAAGTGAAAGAATGTAGTCGAGTCTTTGCAACATTAGTATATTCTCTCTCGTTTTTTATATTAAAACTAGGTCGCATTGTGAAATGTTGCTGCAGGATAAAAACAAGATTTTCATGGCCAAGTACTTTTGTGTGAGGTTGCATGCTTTGTTTGGTGCTGCATTGGCTTTTGGATTGGTATTGGCTAGAATAGTTAATAACAGGGTACTACTCAGATGAGGATCAAGGAGGGATGCACTGCGGTGCAAGAGCTATATATGTCTTGGGTCATGAACAAAATATGTCATAAAAGTCTAGTAATAATTGTATAAAAATAGGATAATTTTAAAATGTATTATTAATTGTTCAAGACAAGAATTAGAAAATGTTTAGAGTGAAAATAGGGTCATTTTGACCGGTTCTCCGTGATCAGTTTATCAGACATTCACATTCACCATAGTCTTTCTGGTTTCCCTTTTCTGTGTTTCTATCTTCTAATGCAATGTTCTTCATAGAAAGGTATACAAATTGCATATATGAATGAATATTATTAATGATAATAATAATAATTGAAAACAAAGTGTAATTAATTAAAATGAGGGTGTTCTATATGTTCTCTTTGCCAATGACAATTGGCATGGTGATTTTTACATTGAGATATTTCTCTGGACCTGATGTCCCTAAATATGTGTTTTTCACCGTTGCTTATACCTGGTTCTGCTCCCTCTCCATCATCATCCTTGTCCCGGCCGACATATGGACGGTATTTCTCCATTTCTTCATAAACATATACACCTTATTGCTTTAATTCGATTGATTAATTTGTTTTCATTGATTGTTAGACGCTAAATGGTAATTATAATGGAGTCATTTCCTTCTTGTGGAGCTTATCATATTGGAGTACCTTCTCGCTTACATGGTAAGGTTCTTCTTTTTCCCTAGAATTAGAATATGATGTGATTGATCTTTTAGGATTAGGCTCATAGAAAAACATAAACTCATAGTTCTGTATTAAATTATTTCTCTAAACAGGGCTGTGGTTCCCCTTATTCAGGGTTATGAAGATGCTGGAGACTTTACTGTCAAAGCCAGATTAAGAACAAGCTTACATGGAAACCTTGTTTTCTATCTCTCTCTTGGTTCTGTTGCACTTTCTGGATTGATATTACTAATTGCTCTTAACAAATTTTGGTTTGCTTCTCTTTCTTTTTCCTTTTTTCAATTTCTTCAAAATCGCGGTTGCAATGCTGTTGTTAAGGCCTCGAAATCTTTTATATAGCAGCCACAATTGCGGTTGCAGAATGCAATTTAAATTCTATCCTTAATAATTTGCAGGACTGGTAGTGTTATGGGTTTTGCTATGGCTTGCTCTAACACATTTGGACTTGTTACGGGTGCATTTTTACTCGGATTCGGTATGAGTGAAATTCCAAAGGGTATTTGGTTAAATGCAGATTGGACCATTCAGCAAAAATTTCTTTCCCACAAAGTTGCAAAAATGGCTGTCAAATTAGACGACGCTCATCAAGCTTTTTCAAATGCCATCGTTGTAAGTTATCATAACAATTTACCACTTCAATTAGCGTATTCTTAACGTACTTCATCTTGCATCTGGATGATTTACATTGAATTTTCCTATTTATTCTGAAATTCGGCGTATGTAAATGCATCGTAGATCATATAACATCTGCATTTTATTTATTGATAAAAAGAAATACTTTCTTTTTATCGTTTATTCTTTGCAGATATGATTTTTGATGGTGTGCCATTGTCAGATCACACAGGCAACATCAAAGCAAATGTCCAAGCGGGATTCTTTGAGGCCCTACATGAATATAATTGACAAAATGATGCTACAGATGGTAAAGTTTGAGTTCTTAGAATTTTGAGGTATTTATAAATTCTAAAAATGTTCTATTGCTAGGTGTTTATGTAACATTGTGTTTTTGTTTTTCTAGTTGAAAGAAGATCCTTCCTTCAAACCACAGGGAGGGACACTAGGAGAAAAAGACATGGATTATGATACAGATGAGAAATCAATGGCTTCACTAAGACGTCGTCTTAGGAGAGCCCGCGTGCAGTATTATCGATATAGAAGGTAGACACTGATCTATTTTGCTATAAAAGTTCGAACTGAGTTCTCAGTTCTCACACGCCATTGTATCCAAAAACATACCATAATACTTCAAAACCATTCTTGTATTTTTTTGTGTATATTCGGTTTACACAAATTCTCTTCGAGTACTAAACATTTTTTCTTATAGTATTATAATTAACATTGGTATTAATATTTCTTACAGTGAATATACCAAATTTGTCCTAGAAGCCCTTGAGCTGGAGGATACCGTAAAGAACTGCGACAGTCGTGATGCTACAAGATGGTTTGCTCCTAACCTACATTTGCTTTTCTCATTGTTTATCTTCTCATCATTGTTCAAGTGTTATATCTATGAAGTAATAGTGCTGCTATGTCATTATTTAAATATGTTTTATTCCAATCTTGCAGGAAATATATTTCATGCTTGAGGCCTGAACGAAAAGGCAAAGTAGGTGCAATTTTGGATACAATTGGTACTCACCATATATTTGTTCGTACTAATTTTTTTTTTTTACCAAAGAAAGAATAATTTTATATAGCTGAAATATGTTGATTTATCGCAGAGTTTCTATGGCGGTGTATATTAAAGAAACAAGTTGAGAAATCATTAGCTGTTATATTAGGCTTCATGTCGTTTTTCATTCTATTAGCAGAGGCTACCATACTACCCAGTGGAGTTGACTTATCTCTTTTCTCTATCCTAGTACATGCTGCAGGACAGAAAGAAGTGCTTGTGCAGGTGATTTCCGTACACCTTTCTGATAAGGCTACACATTTTTCTTAAAATCTCTTCGTTTTTCTGATTGTTTGATTCTTCTGTTCAGTTAGCTGCTTTTGTCCCTTTGATGTATATGTGTGTTTGTACATATTATTCCTTGTTCAAAATTGGAATGTTGATGTTTTACTCGTTGACGCCAAGACAAACAAGCTCTGTAAGCTTGCTTATGATATGCTCGTAAGTTTTGTGCCGTTTTAATATATATATCTTTTTAGTCATTTGCGCGTATTATGGCTATACAAAATTTCTTCCCTATGCAATGCACATTTTCTTGCAGGATGGTGGCAAGATATGCTGCACCAATTTCATACAACTTTCTCAATCTCATCAATATCGGCGGGGGTAGAAAAACTATTTTCGAAAAAGTATTTTACTGTTTTCTCTCCAGCTTCATTGATTATGCTACAAACATTGATGTTTTCTCTAGTGTGTAATACAAATATTTTGTGCAGAAAATGGGAAACATTGATGATGCTGTTCCTTTTTTTGGCAAAGGATTCAACAAAATTTACCCTCTTATCATGGTTATATACACTTCACTAATAGCAGGCAATTTCTTTAACCGAATTATCAACTATTGCGGGAATTGGAAAATATTCAAGGTTAATAATGAAGATGCAGAAGATATGGACGGATTTGACCCGTCCGGAGTAATAATCTTGCAGAAAGGTATGCTCTAGTCTTTTCATTACCAAATTCTTTGTCTCTATTTTAGTCGAGAATAGGCTTAACTACCTTCTGTTTTGTCCTCAGAGCGTTATCTTCTTCAGCAAGGACACAATGTTGGTGAACTTGTTTTCCCTTTAGCTAGGAGTTTCAACATAAATGTGGTTGTTGAGTCTGTCAACAGAACCAAGGTACACATCGAAAACCACTGTTTTTTCCGTCATTCTTCTTTTTCAAATCTTAGTAATCCAAACAAGTAGATAACAACTCTTTTATGATACTTTCACAGGCTCTGGAAGAGAGTACCTCGGGCGAAGATAAAACGAGCATCATGGTAGAGGCGAAAAATGAAGAAAATCAGAGTGACATGAGCAAAAGAATTGGTGGCAGAAAGTATTCAGCCTTAAGGACAAACCCGAAGGAAGAAGGGTCGAGCAAAGATTTCACCCTGGAAAGAGAATCTTCTTCTTTAACAAATGATGCTAGTGATTCTCTTCAGGACATTAGTTCAGGGCCATCGTCTGTGGTAGCTACAAAATGGGAATCAATGATGAATGGATTTAAAAGTTTGAAATCTAACATTGACTCCAAGAGATTCCTTCCTCTTAGTAATAGTACACAGACATCGTATCTTAACTCGCAATCTTCGTTTGAATCTCTTGATGATATATTTGAGAGATTGAAACGTCCACCTTTGGAACATAGAGATTCTGGTGGTGACTAATATAATCATAGAGCATGCATGCTTCAAATATGTATCAGTAACTCTGTAAGTAGTCAATATGCTTCCAAATTTTGTTTACCTTAGACAAGAGTTGCATGTATAACTTAATATAACATTCAAAACCAATGTTTTAGTATTCAAATATGGCAAAAAGGTATTATAACATTTGAGTTGGTGTTATTGAAATAAACTTTGAATGATTTTTTCTATTTTCATAAAATTAGTCTGCACTTGTTACAAACAAAGCAGCTTATAATAGTACTTACAATTTATATTTAATACTATGTTTTTTTTTCATTGTGCCTTGTGCCTTGTATTCGGCTAATGATATATATATATATATATATATATATATATATATATATATATATATATATATATATATATATATATATATATATATATATGTTATTGGGGTGTTTATGGGTGCGGTTTGGCTTAAAACATTCAAAGCAAACCAAATGATAAATTATGAGGATTTTTTTTTTCCATCTTATATTTTTCTAACGCATTATGTGAAATTTTAAAAATATTCTTAAAAATCGAAAATATATTTCTGGTGCGCATTTACACACATAATTCATTCGTTTTTTAAAATTCATCTTATTTTACGATAAAATTTATTTCGGAAAAACACTTCCAAAAATTCTCAGAAATATATTTCCTATTCTTAATAAACAATAACATAATGGCATATGCTAATTAAACTTCTTACTGGATGCTTACTGGATGCTTACTGGATGTAGCAAAGTATCGAGTCAGGCAAAGTTCCCCTGCCTGCTTACTGGATGTAGCAAAATAAAGATCAGCCGTGAGTAATGGACCAATCTTGTTCATGATGGCAATTTATGAAGTATACTCCACAATGAAGTAAAAACATGATTACTATATAATATTTTCTGTTTGTTTTCGGTTAAAAATATATTATACAATTAATGCATATCAATTAAAGAATCAATCGTATCTTTTGATAACGGAAATTGTTATCAATTATATTATAAGTCAAATTGAAAGTTGTTATCAATTGTATTAATAGGTTTTTTATTATAGGCTAAATATAAGTTAGGCTTTCAATGCATATATTCTTGTATTCATTTTTAGTTTATACAGTAAATCGTGTATATATGTAATGGAAATCACGTGACATAAAATATACAACATTCTATTTATTATATGGTATCATTTTTTTTCCTGGTTAATATCTATCATTTTGCTTCTTTTCTTCTTCATCGACACTCTTGTTTTCAATGTCATTATGTCTAATATCTCATCCCAACAATTTTTGTTCCTTCTTCTGAAAATTCGCCCATCACTGATCACTCCACAACAACCTCAAACACAAATCCTTGTGTTATTCGCCATTCAGATAATCCTACAAATGTCCTTGTTATCCCTTTACTTACTGGTGATAACTATGGTTCATGGAGTCGCGCAGTAACAATGGCACTTCGTGCCAAAAATAAATTAGGTTTTGTTGATGGGTTACTTACCAGTCCGAAGAAGAAAGAAGACATTCTTAAATGGCAATGTAACCCTCATTTCTATCCCGCACAAATATATAACATAATTAGAGTAATTTAGCATGCACATCACAAAAGGTGTCACATTCACTTCACGGCAACAAATCTAATACATTGGTCATATTCATAACACGCATTTAGAATCATGTTCCACACCATAACACAAAAGCATCTCGCAGCAGAATAATTCTTAACTCAAAATAATAATATTAATGATTAAAATCTCATACTGGCAATCATATCATAAAATACTAGGCACTAAAGGCCATCATCACATACATCTCAATCAAACATAAATATTAAAAGAGTATAACAACATCTCTCAAATAAATATGAATATTATATACATAACATGAATTCAAAGGTTCCTAGTGTTACATAGACCAGAGCATGACTCACTATCTAGTAAACGGATAAACGAGAATCTAATCCCATATGACTAACCCTTGCTAGAAGCACCACCGCTATCCTCGGTACCTGAGCGATATCGTATAAAACATCATTTCAACAGAAGGGTGGACATATATAACAATAAGTAATGCATAATGTTGTGCCCCAAAATTTTCCCTCTATTTTCTCAAGACATTTCTCACAAAAGATCTCAAATGCTCAAGAAGTCTCAAGATTTGACCAGACAAGTTCACCTCCTAAGCACTGAGCCCACAAATTAGGGTTTTGGCTTTCTCAAGGAAAATTGGACTTTTAGATGCCTCAAGTGACTTTCATGGTTCATTATAGACCTCCAAGAATACGCATACCAAGATTCAAATCTTGCATCTCAAATTTGCTCAGTCAATTGCTCAGATGACTGAAAATCAATTGTATTGGGTAAAAAGTCAATTGTGGTCAACATACAGTCAAACTTCATGATTTTTGGCCAACATCAACATTTTGAAGTTATATTTATCAATTGATAAAGGGTTGATCACAATGCCTCAAGAAAAGCACTCAAGTCATCAAAGGGGCAAAATTGTCAAAATTAGAGTTTGTTACTGAGAATGATTGATCAATGACTTTTGACCTAATACATGACCTAATGACTTGGATCACGATCTCAAGGACTCAAACACAACATTTTGACCTAATTCCATGTCTCAAATCATTTCTCAAGATTAATGGATTGATAGTTGAAATTTGATCAACTGATGAAAAGTCAACTAATACACCAAAAGTCAAACTTTGACTTTTTTGTCAACATTGAATTTCAAAGATCAAGATTCATCAAGACCTTAAAAAATGTCAAACTTGATCATCAAGAATCAATAAAGTCAAGAAAGTCCATAAAAAGTCAAAGTTTTCAATACTTAGAAAATTTCTAAGTGTTTTTTACCTTGATAATTTCATTACTTCATGACAATTTTTCACCAAGATGCAAGATGATTCAAGGAAAATTTTCAACATGAAAGTTGTAGATATTGATGAATTCTAAAACTTTGTCCTTGAGGACTGGTGTCTAAAAAATGCTTAGATTTGAAGATATAGATCCATGAAGTCATGACTTTTTATCAAAAACACTTAGTGAAATTTTCATCAAGTTAGGCAGATTTTTTGTCCAAACTTCTTGACAATTTTTCACCAAGTTCTAAGATGATTTAGAAAAAATGGTCAACATGAAGATTGTAGACAATGTTTCAATATTTTCAAAATGTCCAAGAACTTGAAGATATCATGCTTGAGCTAAGAGAATCGAAAAGGAGAAGTTGAGCATCCATTCTTGAATTACAAGGCATTTTCATGAAGAACACTTGATCAAATCTCAAACCTATGTTGCATAATCTTGCTTTGCAGGCTTCTAACTTGTAAATCACTCCATAATTAATTGTTTGTACAATTGATTAAGGTATGATCCAAGTGATTAAGCCATTGTCCAAAGCAATTTTCCATTTTTAGAAGAAAGACGCCATTGCCATTCTTGAAAAGCAAACTTTATCACAAAGTCAACTTGTCTTAAGCCTCTAACTTGTTTGTTCTGATCACACTTAACATGTATGCTCAAAAGCAATATGTTTAAAGCCTCTAGCTACCCTATAAGTCCTTGTACCATTGCATTGGAACAATGTTTGTCAAAGTTACTTCAAAATCAAGTCACATAACCATAACATGTGATCTTTGATTTCTGACCACTAGAGCCTCTACAACATTCCCTCTATAAATATAGGAGTCATTTGCAAGCTAACACATGAGTTTACAAGCCTTGAAACACCCTCAAATACTCTGAAGTCAGAATTTGCATTTCAAACCTCCATTGTTGCACATTCTGACCATAAACTCCAAACTCCTAATTCCATCGCGCGTTTTCATTTCTAATCAACCACAAAGCTTATATACTTCATTTAGAACTCATCCTTATCCCTGTTTCATAACTGTAATTCCATCTTCATCATCCTCCAAACTCAAAAACCCAGCTCTGCAACTTGACTTCTCCAAGAAGATTCAACCACTTTCAACATAAAATAAGAGTTGCATTAGCTTCCTAGAAGTCCAGTGAAGCTATCCAGATCATCACTACACTTCCAGGGGTGCTCAAACTCCATACACAATTTCCAGTTTTGAGGTAAGTTTTCTCAACTTTGAACTCTCTTTACAAGCATCATTAATGGTTACTTTGTGAATGAAATATGTAGACATCATAGCCCTGAAGCTAACCATGCCTTTAGTTTTCATTTATGTTGCCTAAGTGATGTGAATTTTGAGTTTGAACTTTCTGAAAAAATTAGGTTTTATTTGGTACTTAACAAAATTCATGTTCATCTCTGATTTATAGTTTTAGTTATTTATATGGTTGAATTCGTTGTGAAAAATGGAACAACTTTCATGTTTACAATTTTGAAATGGTTTAGAAATGAGCAAGATTAAAATTCATAACAATGGTGTTGTTGCTCTACACGCGCAAGGTTAAAGATGGAGCCATTTCAAACATTTAGGACCAAGTTTATTTTAAGTTTATTGTATATTGTATTATGACCAGATGAAACAGCCACCCCAGTGACAGAGGAAGTGTAACGCCCGTAATTTAATTAATTATTTAATTAAATTATTTTTGGAATAATTGTGAAGTTGTGTTATGATGATAGTTGATGTGTTGTGATTAGTTGGATTTAATTATTTTATTAAGTTGTGGAATAATATTAGAATGATAATATTATTTGATGTGGGCTTGTTTTAAAGGATAGAAGTAGAAATAAGGGGGTGTAGAAGTTTTAAGCCCATTAAGGTATTTTGAGAATTATAGGGTTATTTTATTATTGTTAGAAATAATAAGAAAAGAAGAAGCAGTAAGAGAGAAAGAATAAGGGTTGGAAGAAGAGAAAGAGAACGTGAAAGTTGCAGAAAAGGAGGAAAAGAGGCAGAACGAAATTCGATCGGAAAAGTTATAGAGCAACCTTCAATCCAAGGTAAGGGTGGGGTTCTGACTCTATAATAGAGTTTATGATGATTGGTATGTGGGATTAATGTGAAAGATTGTTTGGTTTATTATTG